TTTATATAACACATAATACTTGTAATTAATATATTTATATAATTATTAATTATTATTATTATAGAGTACTGTCCATGTGTGACGTGACAAGCTAAGATCCAGGATACTTGGGTTTTTCTTGGCCCAATTCAATCTTTAACATCTTGGACACTGAGCATTCCACCATCCCAGATTAGGAAATTATCTATTTCACTTTTACATGAGTTCAAATCCTGCCTCAGAAACTTAACTATGTGACCATGCGCAAATCACTTTTATCTCTCTTAGCCTGTTTCCTCATCTGTAAAATGGGTACCATAATAGCACTCACAGGATTGTTGTGAGATTCAAATAAGCAAATGTATGTAAAGTGGTTTACAAACCTAAAAGGACTACATAAGTAATAATAATTACTATTATTATTATTACAGAGTACTGTCTATGTGGGGGGCAAAGAGGATCTAGGATATGTGGGTCTTTTGTGGCCTAACTTAATCTTTAACATCTTGAGCATTCCATCACCCCTGACCAGGTCTGTTTGACTTTCACGTGATCATTTGAGCTGGAAGGGACCTTGGAAGTCACTGAATCCAATGTCCTCATTTTACAGAGAAGCATCCCAAGACCTCATGAGGTCAAGTGACTTGCCCCAGGTGACACAGCTAATAAGTATATGAAGCAAGATTCAAACCCAGGTCTCTCTGACTCCTAGTACTCTATCCAAGAGTGGTCATTTATTGGGCATCTGGGCTGTTCATCTCACTGAGGCTCCTGGCAAGACTAAGGTATATGGGGTCATTTGAGGAATGTCACTAGGCTGCAGTGCAGAATCCATTTTCCAGGTCCACTGATCCCCAGACTGCCAGACCACCATACAGAGTTTTCAGAGACTTAGATCCAACAGTTTTCTCCCTGCCTGAAATGTGTTATAGTCCCTGGGCACAAAGACTACTGCCTTCTCCAACCCATTAGAAGAATAGGGGAAATTTTCTCTGGAGTCCATTTCTCCTCTAGAGGTTAAGCAACTCTTTCTTTTCCTGTCTAAGGGATTTGCTCTACCCGCTGATTCCCAACTCTCACCATGGCAAAAATCAAACTATTTTGTTTCTGGGGTTGATGGTGTCTAGTGTCCTGTTGAGCTCTGTCTTAACCCTCCTTATCCTCCAGGTCATGAGTTAAATTTCCATTCTTCAATGTCAGGCCCTGGGGGACCCTGGGACAGTCCATAGGACACAGGGGTGAGACTGGGTGAGGCCTAGCTCTCTCAGTGGGCTGTTGAAGGAAAACTGAGGTCTCAGTGAGAGACTGAAGCCTTTCAAGTAATGGAAAAGCCATACATGGGAGCCAGCAGTTGAATTGCTTTCTTTGGCTAGGGATTTCCCATTCATTTTTTTGTCACTGGCACACTCACAGAAAAAGACAACTGGGCCTGAGGGGTGGAGGTTGGGAGGAAGGGATGCCCTATTGTCGGAGGTAGTGTGATAGTAGACTTGGAATCTGAAAACCTGGATCTCTCACTTAGTAGCTATGTGACCTTTAGCAAGGCATTTAACCTCTATTAACCTCAATTCTTTAAAAAAAAATTTTTTTTTAATTTCCAGTTACAAATTCTCTCCCTCCCTCTACCCTTTCCCCACCCATTGAAAGGGCAATCAGTAAGATACCCATTATTCATGTAAAGTAATGCAGAATATATTTCAATATTAGTCATGTTGCAAAAAATAAAAAAATATTAAAGCAGAAAATTTAAAAAGTGAAAAAATATCCTTCAATTTGCACTCAGTCTGAACCTCAGTTCCTATTAAGAGAAGTTGGGGGAACTCACCTACCTCAAAGAACAATTGGAGAATTGAAAGAGTTGATGGATGTGAAAGCCAAATGCCCACTGTTATTATTACCTTTTTTCCTCTCTTTTGGAGGCAGTATGGTGCTGGGAAAGTCAAATCAACAAGCATTTTTGGCTTACTGTGTGCCAGGCATTATGCTAAGAGCTGGGATACAAACACAAGCAAAAAGACAGTCCCTGCCCTCAAGGAGCTTACATTCTAATGAGAGAAAATAGCACATTAATAACTTAGTAGTACATCTTATATTATAACATTAATGCATTAATATATTAATTTTTTACTTAGGTATTTATATAGTTGATAATATTTATAATATATTAATGGTATTATAATATCATTATACTTATATTGTCATATTTATATTAGACATATACCAAAATATCTAAATATAATTATATGTATAAATATATAATTCCATATAATTTACATGTAAGTTTACATATAAATTATATCTAAACATAATGATTATAACAATCACTTGATATTCATTAATAATATATTAATATAGTACAATATTTTAATATAATGTAATATAATAGAAAATAAAATAATATAAATAATACTTTAAGGTTTGCAAATGCTCTACAAATATTATTGCATTTTATTCTCACAACAACTTTGGGAGGTAGGTACTATTATTATGCCTACTTTTCTAGATGAAGAAACTGAGGCAAACAGAAATTAAATGACTTGTCCAGGGTCATACAGCTAACAAGTGTCTGAGGCAGGATTTGAACTTGGGTTTTCCTGACTCTAGGCCCAGGGTATCTGGGTTCAAATCCTACCTTTACTGCTTACACTCTTAGTCACTTTGGGCATTTGTTTAAAAAAAAAAGGAGGGGGATTGGACTAGTAATGTTGAGCTGGAACAGAAATGGATCCCTGCAGGCTACCTATTGACTTAGAAAACCACAAATCAACATTATCTATGTTGCACTGTATTTTTATTTATTTTATTAAATATTGCCCAATTTCATTTTAATCGGGTGCAACACCACACTGTTGAGTTTGCAGGTGGCTGGTCAGTTTGACACCTTTGGACTGCATGACCACCAAGGCCCACTCCAGGCAGGTCAAAGTCTGCTTTCTCCATCTCTCTCTAGGGGCTCCAGAGCAAAGAGGAACTGCAGGCTTGAATACTTCCCTTCCCTCCTCCTCTTTCGCAACACATGCTGTGCTAGTGCCCCCACCTGCAGGCAGTGAAATCAACCAACAAGCAGGAAGGCCTTGGAGGACACGTTTGCATGCCAGCCCTAAGGGAGAGGGAGGGGGGAGAGAGAGAGAGAGAGAGAGAGAGAGAGAGAGAGAGAGAGAGAGAGAGAG